GAACTGCTGGTCCCTAGACTTGTTATCTTAAAGCTTGAGATGTCAGAAGTCTACAATGGATCTGCAGGGATGCATTCCTCCTGGAGGATCTAAGCAGACTGTTTCCCTTCCTTGGCTCATGGCCTCCTCTTTTAGCTGCAAGGCCAACAGCTTGGAATCTTCTCTCCTCTCTGTACATGAACTTGTGTGTTTTTGTGGTTCAGTCAGGTAATTCAGGATAAATCTCCACATCTCAAGGCATTTAACTTATTTACACCTGCAACATTTCTTTTGTGATTTAGCTTCCTTTGCCTATCTATATTCGGAAGTTTCAAAGATTAAAAGTGAGCTATCTCAAAGGCCCATTATTCAGTTTACTATGGAGAGTAGATTGTTTATTGCCTCGTTTCTCTTATCCTTAACATGAGAATGGAATAGTTCCTACTGCATGAGTTTATGAGAATTAAATAAAGTTGTATGCATTGTTATTTAATACTACTATAAAAACAATCTCTATATTAAATGATCTCAGATCTTTGAACACATTAGTGAGAAAGATAGATCTGATCCTTGCTCTTGGTAAATGAAGACTTTAAGTGAGTAATCACAGAAATAAATGTATGTTATCGCCAAGTCAGGGCTACAAAGGAATAGTAACAAGTATATTGGCAAGGTTTAGGAAGGCATCTCTGAGCAAATAGCTTTTGCTTGAGATTTTATGAAAGACTAGGAATGTACCTAGCTGAGATTAAAAAAGTAGTAGGGGAACATTCTATTAAAAGGAAAGATATATGCAGACTCCAGGATAGCAATGAGTACAGGGCATTCAAGGAATTTGAAGGCATAAAGATTCAGGGAAAATAGCAGCAACATACGATGCTGCAGAAGTACTCAGGGACCACAGCAGGTCATACCACACAAGGGCATGTTATGATGCATGAGTTTATTTTACAAGTAATTGCAAGAGCAATTTGTTCAGATCGCTTATTAGACTACATTACTCGGGGTGCTATGTAGAGAATGCAGTGCAAGAATTGAATCAGGAAATCCAGTAAAGAGGAAAGAGATTTGGATTTAGCCCAGGTGGGAGATGAGGGTTTCGCAGATTGGGCTCCCAAGGAAGAAACTCTGAGATGGAGATCAATAGCAAGAGATTTAGGATGGAGTGCCCTGGGGTCAGTGCCTGAAGCTGGGCAAGAAATGGTGCTAGGCAGGGAGATCTCAGCTAGTTATGAAAGATGCTAGGAGGTATGGAAGACCCCTCAGAGTTGGGACGAACTCATTGGATGCAACTGCTCCAGCAGGAGCATGGGGGGCTCTTAGGTCACATGATCTTCCTCAATGGTCCCCAAAATAGGCTGACCATTGAGCATCTGGGGAAATCTTAGGGTTTGAGATGTGTATTACAACATCCACTATAGGGACACTTGGCCTGAACAGTGGAGAGAAAATGGACGACTCTGAAAAAAGATTTTGTAGGTGGATATGACAGAGCTTGGTGGTAGTTTATATAGAGGAAGATAAAAAGGGAGCTATCAAGGATGATAGCCAGGTGTCTGACTTTTACACCAACATAAGTTGTACCCTATTTGTATAGATGTGTGTGGGTCAGTTAGATAACTAAGTAAGTCTACACCTCAGACAACCAGTCTAGGCTGGGGATCGAGACTTGGGAGTAATCGATGAGTAAGGTCAGTCAGCCTGAGCCCACAAGAGAATCACCTCGGGAGAGAGCACCGTGGCGAAAGGCTTGAGCAAGGACAATAATGAAGACGGGTTATGCACATTTCTTGTCACCGTGCTTGACACAGCAAGAACTCAATAAACCACATGACATAATAATAACGTTTTTATGTTAGCGAAGGAAATGGGCTGTCATAACGGTGCGCTTTCTGCCAGCAAATCCATAGTCAGGGACAAGAGAACACAGCGTTCTTCCACAGAAAACCTGGAACGCATACCAGCTGTGGCTGCTGAGCCGAATACCAGCTCACCTGGAAATGGCTTTTCAGGATGCTTCCCTCAGAAGAGAGTGTTCTGGGCCCCTGGTCGTCTTTCACCTCACGGCTGATCCTTCAGCCATCCCCTGACTTCACCTTCATGGTCTGTCTGGAGTAGGATCCATTCTCACCAGCTCCGCAACAGCTCCCTCGGCAGAGGCTTTCATCACCTCTTGCCTGGATCTTTTTCTTTCTCTCTTTGTTTCTCTTTCTTCTTCCCCTCCCTCCCTCCCTCCCTCCCTCCCTTGCTTGCTTGCTAGTTTGCTTCCTTCCTTCCTTCCTTTTCTTCCTTCCTTCCTCTTTCTTTCTCTCTTCTTTCTTTCTTTCTCTCTTCTTTCTTTCTTTCTCTCTCTTTCTTTCTCTTTCTTTCTCTCTCTTTCTAGTTTAGTCTATTTATCTTATGAGAGAGAGAAAGAGAGAGAGGGAGGGAGACAGGCATCTCCTACATGCCTTCCACACATGCCTGGTGTGCAAAGCCCTCCAGCTCCCAGCTGCAGCCACTGTGCCACCATCTGGATGCATTGCCTGGATTATTGGGAAGTCTCCTAACTGGTCTTCCTCCCCACTCCCTGCTTGCTTCCCTAAAGCCTACTTGCTACTTCTAACACTACAGGTAAAATCATGCGATTTCTCTGCTCTATAGCCCTCCCACCTCCTGCAGAGTCAGAGCTGAATCCATGGCCAAAGCCTGTGGAGCCACGCACAGCCTGTCCCTGCCCTGCCCACTGATCCACCTGGACTTCATCTTCCCAGCTTCTCTATTTGCTCCGCATAAACTTCAGCAGCCCCAGCTGCTCTTCACATGTTCCATGCATACTCTCGTCTTGAGGCTCTACATTTACTATTCCCTCTGCCTAAAACACCCTTCCTACATAACAACTCATAGGGTTTACTCCTGACCTCCTGCAGGTCTTTGCACAATCTAAAAGCAGCAGCCCCATGGTGCCCAATGGTAGCTCAGCCGTAAGACATTCAGCAAGGCAGTCACAAATGGAAATGTTCCCAGTTCAAGTCCAGACTGCTCTCTGAGTATACTGGGAACTCGCTTACCCATGAGCCAGTGCTGGCTGAGGCTGGGGTGGATTATGATGAGATCAAACCTATTGGGGGTACTGACACTCTGCTGCTCACTTACTCATTTATTCATGGAAGAAATAGACTTAAAAAAAACAACCTCCCCTGGATATTCTATAAAGTCCTAATCATTCTTTCCACTCCTGTGCAACTCTGCTTCATTTTTATCCATAGTATTTATTATTTTCTGACAGCATGAATGCTGTAAGTGTGCTTGTTCTATTGTCCATTGCCCAGTAAAGTGCAAACTTTATTATGGTAAAGTAAGAACTCTGGGTCTGGTTTGGCTTGGTTTGGTTTCCTGTTGTATTTCCATACTGTCGTATACCTGGGAAAGTTCCAGCTAATACACCTTCAATACATATGGATGGAGTCAATGAGTGGGTGAAAGCGAAGATGAACGAGTGTGTAAAAGAGTCTCCATTTAATTTTCTGAGGAAGCTTCTCCACACTGTCTCCTTTTGTGCATTTTCTTTTCTTTTCTTTTTTTTTTAAATAAGGTTTATTTTCTTCCATGAGCCAGAGAGACAAAGAGACAGAGATGAGAGAGACACAGAGATGAGAGACAGTATTCCCAACAGAGTCTCAGTTCCAGGATCCTCCCTAGCTAGCCCAGATCATGTGCACAAGTGTTCCAAGTACACTCAGGGAGGTCTCTGGACCTGAACCCAGAACCTTCCCATGAGGGTCAGCCTCACAGAGCATCATGTTTTATGGCCACCATCTGGCCCCCACTTTGTACATTTTATAGATCTGATTTCACGAGATGAGAAGACTAAAAGAGAGGCTAGAAAGGCATAAGGCCCATAAAGAGGAGTCTCTGGGGCCTTTTGCAGATGAAGTTTAGCATCTAAAGACTCCTCCCCATTGCTGGGGACTGGCCAGATATTAAGCAAAGCAAGAGCTAATTTAAATTCTTCTGAAGAAGGTATTATTTTGACTATGTCTGGCAATATCCAAATAAAAGTCAACACAAAAGGTCAACTCAATCCTTTCGGGTACACAGTATATAAAGCACCTGATTATCTCCCCAACACATACATTTTTTGTAATAGCTATTATTGTTGATATATTGGATCATTGGGAAAGTCATGATGCATTTTTGCATAGAAAACCAAAGAAAAATATATCCTGATTTTCCTGATGACCTAACAGATGAGGGAGGTCTTCAAGAAGTTCAAGAAAAATATATATTATAAAAAAGAAACTATGCGTGGATTTCAAAATGTTGCACCAAAATAAACTTGATTTTATTGCCATTTTCTAGGAACTTTTGAAGTCTCTCCATATACAAGCCTAAACTAGTGCCTGTTGATCTCATTAGTATTAAATGAAAATGTTATTCCATGATTACAAATCACCACTTGTCCTCAGGATCTGGAGCCACGTTTTCAGGCTGTGCTGGATCAACATTTGGTAGCTAAACTCCCATATTCCAGTCAAACTTATTCCGAACTCCATCTGTTACCCTCAATCCCCCTTTCAACAGCTCCGGGGTTGCCCTGGTGGGGAGTCTGAAGGGCACCCACTGTGTGCTGCCAAATGTTTACAGTGCCCTGTCAGAACTTCTCCGGGAATTTCAAAAACTTCCCTGTGGTTAGCAGGAGCCTTCGTGCTGACTGTCATTTGGGAAGACCGTGACAATCTAAGAGATCTTGTCTGTGTCTGTCTTTGCACTTTCCTGATTTCTGCTGTATTTTTTGTTTCTTTTAAAGAGGGGCCCATGTCTGTAATCCTACAGCTACCACAAAATAAAAAGCAATACCTACAGCCTTGCCCCTGATCATGGAAGGCAGCTTTTCATAACATTTTACCCTAGAACAGGATATTGGCAGCGTAACTGTTAAACCTGTCTGTGATTACTCTTCCTTGAGATCACTCTGATGTCACCAGTGTAATCTGAGCCTGGAGCTTTTGTTCACACTTTAAATAGCAGTCCCAGAATGATTTTGCTACAGACTCTCTGGAGAGCCCGGGAGCAGAACTCCGGAAGTCCCCCACATCGATGAAAGCTAAGCGAAGCCACCAAGCCTTCAGTATGTCCACGTCGCTGCGTGTCAGCCCATCCATCCACGGCTACCACTTCGACACAGCCTCTCGGAAGAAAGCTGTGGGTAACATCTTTGAAAACATAGACCAAGAATCACTCCAGAGGCTGTTCAAGAACTCTGGGGACAAAAAAGCAGAGGAGAGAGCTAAGATCATTTTTGCCATCGATCAGGATTTGGAGGAGAAGACGCGAGCCTTGATGGCCCTGAAGAAGAGGACGAAAGACAAGCTTTTCCAGTTCCTGAAACTGCGGAAATATTCCATCAAAGTCCACTGAGCACAGAAAGCTGGATAAGGTCATTATCCACACACAGACATTTAAAGACCAAGTGAGTTTGCAAGACCCTAGCCGAGGCAGCATTTCATTGCCGACTGCAAGCTTCTCTTCCGTCAGGACTCGGACTCCAGAGAAGTCTGGAAAAGGACAGAACGACTTGGTCACAGAGACTCTGACCAAGGTCCAGCCCTATGCTGTTCAGTGGAGAACAAAGTGCTTTCGACAAGGATTTGAAACTCTCCCTGCGGGAAAGGACTGTGCTTATGGAAGCGTTTAGACAGATGTAGTGACAACTGAAGGTGACAGCGACTGGGCGAGACCCGCGGCTGGGGCCACTTTGTCAGGCCCAGGACTGAATTTCAAACTGAACTTTTTTGTTTCTTTCTTTTTTATTTTTTTTTTAACAAAACTGGGTAAAGGAAAGGAGGAGGGGGAGGAAGAAGAGTGAGAATACCATGCCTAAATTGTTTACTGATATTTTTTATTTGAATGTTTGAAATGTTACCAAGCCTCAAAGTTGTCTAGAGGTATAGATTTCCAGAGATCAGTCATTGATTATTTATTTGCATTTATGTGACTGCCTGAAGTGCACACATGGGTGCCCAGCACAAGTTCAGCAGCTCCAGAACACCGTAGGCCACGGTTTGTAGAGTTTTTATACATTTCAAACAGGTTGCAATGTGACTGCCTGAAGTGCACACATGGGTGCCCAGCACAAGTTCAGCAGCTCCAGAACACCGTAGGCCACCTTCTGGTTTGTAGAGTTTTTATACATTTCAAGCAGGTTGCACAAAAGTTAGAGTAATAAGTCCTTCAGAGATCCGAAGTACTGTGAAAAAATTTTATAATGTATTTTATCTTCTGACTAATGCAAAAATATAGTCTCATTACATTTCTTACAGCTATTGCAGTAAGCATTAGGAAGTAAATATGAAATACTAAATAGTTTATAAAAATGCTATGGTTTCTATAATTTATTATACATGGCAAGTGATATGCAACCATAATAAATTATTATTAATGTAGCTGCTCTTGGTCTGTGATGCTTGGTTTCAAAGGAAAATATAAGCTGGTGAATTTTTATTGTTTAAACTTTTCAAAGATTTGGATAAAAGGTGCTTTAAAATAAGAGTAGCATATCAATTTTGGAAAGAAATTCTTACATTAAATACATATGAAGTTTCTTTGTCCCATTTTTAAATGATAAGATATAGAAATTCAAAATTCGACTCATCATCAACATTTCTGCTTAAGGGTGGATCTTAGAAGTCTTTCTCTTCATACTTAAGAAAACTTTCCTCTTTGACTATAATAAATATGTACATGGGTACGTTTATTTCTCCCAAAACAATGCGCTTTGGGGTTGGAGTCTGAATTATGATCCAGATTCTGTGGGTTATTGCTGCACACTATAAACCAATATGGGAATAACATTACCAACTCTTTTTTGATATCCCCTTAAATTATAATAAAATATTTCTAAGAAGGCATCCATCAATGCCTGGTATGCTTTCCTAACAGAAAGAAAGCAAAATTCCCCAGGAATTGAGCATTTCAGAAACACCTAGAAAGTGTTTTGAAAATGCTGATCACTGTAAAACAAAACAAAAGAACAGTCTAAAATCTTTCGGAAGGAGTATACACCAGGATTTTAAATAATAATTTTTTAAAAGAGAAATCAAGTGGAAAACCTATTTTCACTTATTAATTGACTCATTTACCAAAGATAATACAAATCACTCCATTGGAAAGTTCTTTCCAAGCCAGCATCCATGGAAACCATGAAACAACATGAAGAAGTGTGTGTGTGTGTGTGTGCATTATTCTGGGAGGTTTGCAAAGACAACTATGACACCAGGAGAGGGTAAGAACAAAAGAGGAAGGCTTTGGCAGGTGGCAGTCACAGCTGGGGTGTCACGGGATGATGAAAGCCAAGGCTGTAAGAGCTCTCTGATCATGACCTTGTTCCCCGATCCTTACGAACCGACCTGGGAATAAGTTTCCTACCTGTGATAGGTTTTGCCAGTGAAGAACTTTTAAGTTATTTTCAATTCCAAGATTGAAGCACATCTTGGATGATGAACATAGATCACAGGTTTCATTTATTATACAGACTCAACATTCTTCACTCTGCTGCTATTGCCTTATTTCTTCTTTCCTTTCTTTCTAATTTGCCAGAGTACACATGGGCTTGCCAGAGAGGGACAGAGAGAGAGGGAGAGGAAAGGGAAAAAGCACCCCCTTCATGGGGTGTGATTATATCATAATCCCTTCTCCCCCATCTCTCCCTTCTGTTGGTTCTGTTGGGATTCTGGGTGTGCACACGCACGCGTACACACACTTTCTCTCTCTCTCTCTCTCTCTCTCTCTCACACACACACACACACACACACATACAGACACACACACACGTCCTGCATATTTCTCAAGCCACCATGTATGGGACTTGACCAATGCAGTTGGCCTTATGAGAGCTGGCACCCACGACCATTAAACCATAGGGCTGGCCCTGTCGTTTCCAGTAGAGCATAATACATATCTTATCCTCTTTTCACTTTAGCATGTTTTAAGAAATTTTTTAACAGAAAGGCTTAGTTCAGAATTTCATCTATGGCACAGTATAGCCAAATATATCTCAAGAGACCTCATTTTAATAGAAAGCATAAAATGGGACCAGCAAATGGCGTAATAGCTATGTCTCTGGACTCCCATGTAGTCGACTACGGTTTGAGTCCCAGACTTGGTGGCTTAAACTCACACCAGGCGCTTGTATGTGCATGCCCAAGATCCAGAGAGGAGAATGGAAAAGAAGGGATGGCTGTGTGGCCATCCCTTCTGGGGGTTGATTTCTTGTTTTTGGTCTGTCTTTCTCTGTCTTTCTGATGAGTGCATGCACCCTACAGCACAAACCTCCTCACAAAAAAACAAACAAACAAAAAAAACATAGAAGGCGTAAAAGCAGCAAAGATTAAATAGCTTATTAATAATATTTGTACCATTAGGGTCATATTCATAACACCAAACTTTCATTGGGTGTCTACTGTTGGCCAGATGATGTTCTAAATGTCTTCTTGTATATTAAATAACTTAACTAGTCCTGAGATATAGAGGTAAAAGTATGTGTGCATCCACACACTCACACACATATAATAAAACTGAAGTGCAGAGAGGTGAAGTAACCTGGCCAATGACACACAGCACATTAGCCCTGGAATCAAATCCAGGTAGGCGGGCCTTGATTTCTGGCTACTAGGTTAGAGTACTTCTCCGGAAAAAAACAAGCTTCTCTGTTCCCTTTAAAATGACAGTCTATGCTAGTCGGTCTGAAGACAGGAAGGCCTGGCCTCTGAGAAATCACTTTTATCCGATCTGCGCTGCCTGTCTATTTATTTGGCACTTTTATTACATGGGGAAGCTTCTTAGTTTGGTATCTAATTGCATCAAGGGTTTCTTCGGTGCAACATTTCAAGTCTGCATTAGAGTTACACAAGGATTAGCAGCTTGGCCCAACAGGCCACATCAAAGGTCTCCTCTAGTCAGTCAAGGCTTTGGGTCTTATTGAGGAAAATCAGCAGGAGAGGGGGTGTCCAGCTGATGGATTTACTGAGCAGGGATCCCAGGTAGATACCCACTGTATTTTTCTCCCACTATCGGAGAGAAATCAGAGGATGCAGATGGGGTTCCCCTGGAGTCTTGCCTGCTGATGAAATGGTTGAACTGCGTTTGGAAGCCACGTGCCCTTTCAGGGCACCTCCTCTGCCCTCCCACATGCCACACCATCGTTTCCCAGCTTGGCAGACGTAGCGTGTTGTCTACCTGCTTCCCAGCCCTCAGGAATGGTAGTGTGGAAGCAGGATCTAACACAGTCTTGCCATGTGTGTGGCCAACATGGACAAAACGGGTCCTTTCCTCCATCAGAGGAGCTGGTGATTTTCAGGGTGAATATAATACAGTGTAATGCATGACAGGAGTTTAAACAGGAGCCTGTGGTGCACAGGGTGGAAATTGTGTGTGTATCTGTGTGAGTGTGCATCTGTGCCTGTGCGTGCGTGTCTGTGTGCATCTGTGGGCGTGTGGATCTGTGTGCAGCTGTGTATACTAGGAGAGTAGCAGGTGAACTGGAGGAAATCTAATCCATCCTGGAGAGGTCATGGAGGATTCCATAGAGAGTTTTCCCTGCTTCAGAGTAGGAGCTGAGAGGGGTGGAAGGGAAATTTTCATTCCAACCTTTGGATATAGTATTTGCAAAGGGCAGGAGGCAGGGAAGAGTGGGGATTGTTTGGGAAACTCCGGGCAGTTCAGTACAGCTAGGGGACTGAGCTTTTCTGATCATAATTAGAAAGGCTGTTGGGCCTCAAGGGAGGGGCTTCAGCATTCTTTGTATTCTGTAGATAATAGAGAAACAGCACTAACTTTAAACAAGCTGACATTTACTGCCGAAAAGTTGTGTATCCAGCCGAGTCCTAGAAAAGTTATGTTTTTTCTTTGTTTCACATTTTGTTAGAGGGTGCATGTACTTGCTAAAGAGTGAGAGAGAGAAGGAAAGTGAGAAAGCACTCCGATGGGGAACGGTCATGCCATTTTGATTTTGATCATTCACGCACACATGCCTGGTGTGTTTTTCTAGCCCCTGGATCTGGGACCCAAACCATGTAGTTGGCCATATGGGATTCAGCTGCTTTAACCACCCCACCTCTGACTGGATCATATGGTTCATATTTAGAAAAGGAGTTCTTTTTCTAGCAACCGAACTAGGGTCAGATTCTTGAGTGGTTCTTCCAGAACGTTTGCCATAGTAGGTCTACTAAAGTGAGAAGCCACATGGAATCTTGGCATTTCAGTAACAGTGAGTGGCTGTGTGGCAGCTGAAGAGGAAACAGAAGGAAGAGGTTATGAAGCACGTGTTGTGAGGCTAGACTCAGGGAAGGAGGATACATCGCCACGCTAAATGTTGAAGAAATTGTGACTACGCTTGACCCTTACAACGAAACTTACTATTTGGCAAGTATTATAAATACATGGCTACTCAGCTCTCTCTCCACTTGCATAACTCTTCTGGAAACAGTTGTCATACAGTTGAGATGATCAGCACAGGTACCTGCTAGTCAGCTCTGCTTCACTGTCTATGGGCGTCGGCAGTGGATACCCACCAAACCCTCTCAGAGAATTACTCACAGATGAACACCTCTGTAAGGGTTACCAAAGGAACAACAGTTTTAAAAAAAAAATGGGTGAGTGGTCGGAAGACTTTTGTGGTAGCCACGTTCCCGCACACATGCTCACAATCTGCACACGCTATAGATATGAAGTCGTGCAGCAGCGGGGCTGGGCCTCTGCCCGGCCTCTGTTTTCCTCCTCTGTGGCCGGCAGCACCAGCTGAGCAAACACCACCAGCCAGAGCCTGGAGTTCTAGGGTTTTTCTCAACCCTGCCTTGGACAATTCCTTCTTTATTTGCCAGGTTTAAACTTAAAAGGGCTGGCTAGATGACGACGATGTCAGTGACCTCTTTGGGTGTGCGTATTCCACATGGATGGGAAATAATAGCTGTGCCGCCTAACACGATAGGCTTTCTGCCTTGATCAGCTGGCATTCCATATATGCTGGGAATTTCTCTTGAATAAAAAAAATGCCTAATTAAAAAGTTGTGCTCATTAACGACAATTGCTTAAGGCACAATGGGAGGAAAATAACTTTCTATGGATCAAGTTATAGAGCTTTCTTTCTTTCTGTTTGAGAAGGGGGGGAGAGAGAAAGGTCTAGCTTTGTTTTGATTTGTAAATGGGTACTTGTACTCACCAGACAGAGGTGGAAAGAGACGGAGCGGAAGAAAGCATCCCCCAGTGGGGCGTGCTTGTGCTTCAATCTCTTCCCCATTTCCCCACCCTGCTGGGACTGGGGGCACACGTGCTTACACACGTGCACTTGGCATCTTTTTCCTGCCACTGGGTCTGGGATTCAAACCGCATGGTTGGCATTGTAGCATCTCGTTCTCTTAACCACCAGGCCATGGAACTAGCCCAAGTGAAGTTTTTTTTTTTTTTTGGAGAGATTTTCACTATAGGGCGCGTGTGCTCGCCAGACAGACAGAGAGAGACATAGAGACAGAAAGCGAGAAATCACCCCCCAGGGGGGATGGTCACGCCGCAATCCCTTCTCCTCCATTCTCCTCTCCGGATCTTGGGCACG